GATGCAATGACTAACCTGGTGGCTCCAGTGTAGAATTTTTGTACCCAGAGGAAGGTAATGTGAACCTTTGGATCCAATGTAGAACTAATACCCCTTTTGCCTTGGGGAAAGGGAATAGGCTGGAATAGAAACTCTGAAATCTCTCCATTTTCCATTCCACGATATTGGATATAACCCCTTGAAAGAGGAACTGTGCCAGAGAAGCGTGACAGTCCACCAATCTTTGCAGGGACTTAGGCAAGTATAACAACATAAATAGGGGTGCCACAAACTGAATTTCCAACCTGTAGGCTCAGGATACATTGTTCTGTGCAAAACATCTGAAATGTTCTATGACCAGATGCCCACAAAGGCAAACAGACATCCCCTACTCTGGCAAGTGAGGGTGCCCCCTCACTGTTAAGGAGAACTTGCTCAAGGATTTAGGAGACCTGGGGGTGCTGGACTTAAGGCAGAACTGAATTCCAAGCTTTGCTGAGAGGCCTGAGAGAGAATGCAAAAGAACTCATAGCATTCGGAGCAGAGGGTTTCTGAAATTGAGATTTTGCCTTGCTTTTCTAGGTCAAAAGGGCAAAAAATTTGCTTGTGTACCGAAAGAAGGCCCTTTTCTGGATATTTGGCAAATAATATCTACTAACTGGTTAACACAAAAGAGTAGGGCTACAGGCATAATCTCAAGCTACTGGAAGACAGAAGGATACATTAGGATAGATCCAGGACCCTGGGATATGAACTTGGACCATATGGATTAGGTCTGGCAAATGGATATTCTTGCAATGGCAGGTACTTGGTAAATGAAAAAATGAATTTTGATCAAAAAGTATGAACATTTTTCTTCTAGCAGAAGAGAGATGTCTATTCCCCTTGTACACTAGCAAAACAAAACCCCAAAAAACCAGAGGCTTACTGAGAGTGGGAGGGGTTATATTACACTGTCCTTTCAAGCTTTTTGCAGCAGAAAAAGTACTGTGGGGTAATACTCTGGATTTAAGTTCAATATTGCAGCAAGACATGGTTTTGTTTATTTTTTTTTTATCTTTTAATAAGCTATTCATGTTTATCTTATTTTGGCTGGTTATACGTGCTATTGCAGCATGATGAACCAATACATTATCTTATAGTTTAAATCGGAATTCTGACCAAAAACAATATAAACAATAAATATGTATAGCCCCGTTAAAAGGTAAAATAAAACCAAATTTTGCTGTAATATTTACCTTCAATTCAGAGATTTCCTCCACAGTACTTTTTTTATGCTGCTAGATGTCCTGGGTCTGATGGCCAGTATCATTCAGCACACTCCCTCTCAGCTGAGGTTGTTCTTGACCTGCAATCAGCCTCTGATTAGACAGTGATAAGAGAAGCAGCGCAGTGATAAGCTCATCTGATTGGCTCTTTGTACTGCTTCTTCCTCCCACACTCCAATTCCGCTGTTCAGAGAATGTAAGATGCTGATATTCAGGTACTTATACTTCTTGCATTTAGAATATACATGTAATTACGTATTAATGGTTACTGTGCTAAATTAATTTGTATTTTTATATCTGACTAGGGTTCATTTTCAATACAAGTGAACTTTTATCACTAATGTTACTGTTGAGATGAAGTTGCTGAACACTTTGTAAATAATCCGAAGAGCTTGTCATATGCTTCCATCAGTTTTATGCTCTAATATTCATAATAGCTATTGGGGGCCTAAAGGCTTTCTTCACCAATTTCTACATTTCACAGTACCTTACTTTTCACAATACCAGACATTTCACTCCATTATAAATCATATCTATGCATTCAATCAAGGTTCCTTCTAGTTAAAAAAAAAAGTCATAGCAACAACTAGCTACAAATGCCTGCTATAGGCATGTTATAGAACAGTTTATTGCAAAGTACCAAACTGCATGTAAAAGGTTCAAGGGACATAATTACACTTGAAATTTATTTCATATTTACAGATTTCACTATACAATTAATACATTGATTTAGTCATGTGCACGTCACAACTAATATTCATGCATTTGCGGGCTGACCTTAACAAAATGCATAATTTGCAGGAAATGACTGTGCGTATCTGGTTTAATCAGCACATAGAAAAAACCTTCACCAGAAAGAATATAAAATAAGTTATTAGTGAATGACTGTGTGTGTAATGAATAGTCCTCATACTGACTAACATTATCAGTAATAATGAATTTTAAAATTAGCTTCACAAAAATAGCATAGTAGAAAATGCACTGCAAAAAACCCAAAATGAGTATATTATTTAGCAATCAAAGGGTATTTTAATTTAAGAATCATGTTCTGCTTATCTTCAGAAAAACTGCAGCATGACCAGCTCCTTTAAAGGGAATTAACATATACACACAGGAATTGTAGGCATTTCAGTTACAAGGTCATATTCTTTAAGAAAATCAATACTACAGATCTTCACATAAAAATATGCTATTAAAACAAAAGTTGAACAATTTCATTTTTCAATTTGATACAGACCACGGCAACAATGAGTAATGGGTGTTTGTTAGCTAGGTGGTAGTTCTCAATAAGCTGCTTGAGAGCCATTTGCTTGTTTTAGCCCTGTAATGTCACAATGGCCTCCTGGTGGTTCCACAGTACTTGCCTGTACACAGCCTTTATTATATTCTATCCTAAGCAGGAAGCCTTGCAAATGTTGTCTAATCAATACCCTTTAATTACAATTTCTTCAGGTCCTAAGTATAAAAAGGACCAGGCCTTCAGACTCTAGCTTTCACTGCACAGAGCACCTGCCAACTGTAAACACAAACAGGGTAACATTTGACATAATTTCCTCTGTTCTATTCTGCTGCAGTCCCTGAATTCTGTAGTGGAGCTACACTTTTAATTATGCAGTCATCACGTCATATCTCAAGACAGTTACACATAGATGCTGCAGAGATGTGAAGCCCCACTCTTAGTAAATAGGCCCAAGTATTTTAATGAGGTATCCCAGCAGATGCAGCAGGCTGCACCCTAGCAAGATACATCTGTAGCATGTTTAGAAACAGGTTTTCCCAATAAAAGTAGGTCACCTTTGTACCCTGTTAGTATTAACCAGGTTTTTTTCAGTGGTATTTTCACAGTTCATGTTGCTGGCCACAACATATTTAAAAATAGCATTGCACTCTATTATAATGGTTACATTACTCTGTATTAAACAATGAGTACGTAAACCCTTATAGGTAATGCCGGATGGCCATTTTATGCTGCTCTGCTTTTCCTTAGAACAGCGTGACCCTATGTGACTCACAAGTAATATTGTAAGAGTGCTTTTTCCTTTGTCATACAAGGGGGGTTATTCAGGGAAGACTCCTATTGCATCTTCTTAGCATAATTGCTTCTTTGTAACAATAAAAGCATCTTCTTTCAAAACCACATAACAAAGCATTAGCAGAGGATCTCTGTTCAAAAAAATGATTTTATAATGGATAAATGGAAGAGCATTTATAGCTTGACAGATAAGGTCCAATGCAAGTTGAAAAGTAATCACAGCAGAAAAGCTTGGGCTAATTAAAAGTTAAGTGTGAGGGTTTGACATTTGGCCAACCTGCTGCTCTTTACTGCCGACAGTGCTGACGCTAGCCAGCACAGCGCTCTACAGAGATATTTCTGTTCTTTGTGCATGCTGATGGACTTAATCACCCTCTTGAGTTACCACTTGCACATTATTTGGGGATGGAAATACCCCAGTTAGACTTTCGTTATTTTATTTTATGAAGAACAGAGCAGGAAGAGTAAAATTGTTCTAGTCGCAGCAAAGATAGAATGTACAGCGGAGGAGGTAGAGCTGGAACATCTCACTGCTGGAGGCATACACTCAATCTGCTGGCATCAACAAAAACCTGTGTAATCAGCTTGGGTGAGCAGTGTTAGAAGCTGTCCTCATCTGCTCTGAACAGATACTAAAGCAGGCATGGAAAAGGGATTATTCAATTCTGACCATTCTAATATGAATGGTCAGAAAACCTTTCTGTATGAATATTTTTAGGCTGCTAAAATAAACCCACCATGAAACACTAGATAAAACTAATACAACTTCTATCAGCATCCACCAAAACAGACTTGCGTATACTCTTAGTTGGCAAAAGACTGTGCATGAGGAGCCCCCACACTTGGGTGCGCTCTACATGCAATCCTTGATTAGAGGTCCAAAGCAGAATCTGGTAAGATCTTCCTCACAGAATCCCACAAGGCAAAGTGGGCACTTCAGAAGTCAACACAGGGAGGCAGCCACAAAACATTGTGAAACCAGGGGTGAGCGTTCTCCAGCTCCAACTTGGAGTCTATGTCAAGGAATGCATGCAGAGTGCACCCAGGTTCTGTGACTCCCCAAAAGTAGCAGAAATTTCCTGACAACTACAAGTGGGTACAGCCACATCTAGGTACTATAACGATACATCTTATCATACCGGGCCCATATTAAGTTACCCTTCCAAGATTGTTTTGCCAATTTAAGCAACCGATGCATGAAAAAACCTGGTTTAACTATTATATTTCTTAACTTGATCAGTTAGGTCTGCATTTTTGAGCCATGGTGTTTCATAGCATATATTAACAGGCCACTTTAGGTTAGAAAAATAAAATAAAAAAGCAGGTTTGAATAAGAAATGCTGCATGAAATGTCCTGCTAAACCTTGTCACTTAGGATTCCATTTGTGCAAGTGCTAATTCACATATCTAAATGAAAACATTTGATTCATTAGTATTTTGTAGTTATTTAAACTTAACAGACAGAAGAGACTTTTTCAATTCACCAGGTCATCTGTATCTCACTAGTGAAAAGTAATGGAATGATAATGATGGAGAGTCTATTTTGGTTCAGCTTTAACTACAAAAATAATTAAGTTAGATCCTTTGTTTTAAAAGTTTTAATGCAAAGACACTGCTGTAGACAAAATGAGTTTTCCAAAGTCTCCGAGATTAACACCACATAATAAATCAAATGTCCTTGTCAAGGTATTGTAGACACGTGTCTTGATAGGAGCTTTTTTTTACCAGGCAGAAGTTGGTGTGTGAACACTGTTTGGCAGAGCTTTCAGGTTTGAATTACTTCTTGTCCCATTAGTGGGGTGTACAGGCACAGAGCTATTCTGAGACGGTGACATTTGGTAATGCTTCTTGACAATGCAATCCTCGGCTGTGTCATATGACAGTGGTGCAGTGTTGTTGTTAAGGCCAAGAACTTCACAAACTGCTGGAGGCAAATCCTGAGCAACAGAAAGCACAGATCTGCTGAGCTAATTGTTTTAGATGTGGCATATTTAAAACATGAGTCTACAGCAAAGTTCTAAAGCAAAGTTCTAAAGCATACAGATCCCTTTCTCTAGTAGGATGACTGTCCCTAAACCAGCTGCTTAAACACGAAGTCTGCAAAGGCAACTCCTATATTTCTATCCTTACAGATTAATTTACCTATTCTATTTGAATAAAAAAGATTGTGATTATTTCTGTCTTGATAAAAGAGGCACAGCTACTGTACTGCAAAGAAGCACTGTCTGAGTGTAACAGAAAAACTGCAGAAGAGCTATGGTTCAATGAATCAGATGTAGTATGGGCAAGTCTCTGTCACTCGCTGCATGACAGCTCTTACCAGCTTAATAGCATCCTAAACTGTTACAGCCTTTTTTCTTGTTTCTGTGAAAATCTTGGCTGCCTATAATCAACCATTCAATTCTACTTTACTCTACTGAATCACAATACATAGCTCCCAACTGTCCCTAATGTACTTATTTCCTCCTCAGTTGTCCCACTTTTTGGGTCTGATGTATAAACCTCTAGAAAAACCCACACTATTTAACCCCCATTATGCTACACAAAACCATTTCATCCAATCTCCAAATGACTACATTTGTTATTTCACAAATCCAGTATAAAAGAAAAATGTTAGTTAAAAAAAGAAAAATCCTTGTGGGTTAAAGAATATGTTACCCCAACAATTCATATTTGTGCCTTTTGTACCATGTACTTGTATGAAAAAGTATCCTGTTCTTTTTTTTTTTTTTTTTATAAATATTTATTTATTTTCAAGTCTTATGCATGTCATTTCAACATTTCTATTATTATAATTATCAAAACAGTAATTTATATAATTTATTTGACCATATATATAAACTTCCTTTTCTTACCATCCCCCCTCCCAAACTCCCCCTCCCCTCCCCCCCTTCTTCCCGCTCCCACCCACGCTCCACTTTCCTTTTTCTCTCTTTAAATCCATATCTTTCTGTTCTTCCTAAACCCTATTCTAATTCCACTTCCAGGAATATTATCTCATCAAAAAGTATCCTGTTCTAAGTGCATTGCTTCCTTTGCAAGAAATACCTGGTGATCCTGCCAGGTCTCCTGCTCTCCTATTTCAAACTGACCACGCAAGGCATGAGAGCACATCCATCCCAGCATGGTCAGTTTTCTAGCTGTGCTGGGAGAACAGCCTGCCTGTCCTCCAATGGCCAGATTGTGCGGGCACGCCCCACTGCACAACTAATCACTAGGAAGATCAGTGTACTGCTATTTCTCCACAACACCTCTCTAAGCCTCTTGTGTAGGTGAGAACAGAGGTTATGTGATCACATATTAAAAAAAAAAAGAAAAAAAGGTATTTATCATTTTTTTATACAGTATATACAAAATGTTTTGCCTTTCATTTCTGACTTAAAGTGAATGGATTGTTTTACAAAGTAAGGGTTAAATATACTTTAACCAGTCATTTTCTGTGCATTCATTCTTCAGAGTCCATGTGAAGGAGCAGGGGAAAGGCAGGTGTGTATCCTTACAAAAAAATGCTTACGCCATATGACAGCAAGTTTTAATTTGGGCTCTGAATGGCTAAGCATATGGTGTCAGCCCTGCCTACTTTATGTCTTTATTTCTAAAGGATAACAAAGAACACAGACCTCTTGTCATTCCCCCCCCCCCCCCCCCCCCCTTATAATCTTTCCTTGTGCACAGGAAAGTATCAGCTCACAAAATTTCTGCCAATATCAACAGGTATTTTTACACTTACCCTACAGATATGACATAACACTTTTTAATGGTAATTTAACAGGCCAAGAGGGAGCAAATCAGAGCAGATCATTGTTACGGTGCAGGCACACTTTATATGTATGGAAGTATTACAAACAAATAATATCTTTGTGATAAGTTATCTCTAATGAGCTTCTTTTAGTTTTTGCTGCTATCACAGACTATGAGTACATATTTCAGACATGCCAATTGTAATGAGCATTTGTTCAGGCAGAGGGAATGGAGGGAATCTGTAAAACAGCAGCTGGAGTCTACTGCAGATAAATAAGTGATAGCGATTAACCAACAGGGTGCAAGAGGCATACATTTTCTCTGCACAGCGTTCAGTCTTCTTGTCTGCTTGGCTTATTCCCTGTGTAGATTAGTGGATGTTGCATAAAACAGTGACAAACTGTTGACAGCCCTTACAAAAGTTGTATATTCTTCAACTGCCTCTGACTGGTAAATCCAGTTCATTTAGTTTTTCTGTTAAAGCTGAACTCAAGGCTGATACGAGAATGTAATAATGAATTCAATTATGGATTCATTGTAAAATCATACTACTAGCATACAGTATGTGCCTGAATTTGTCTTGATTGTAGCCTCCTGTAATCTCCTACACAGTAGCAGGGGAAGCAGTAGGAGCCAATTATTGCTCAATTAATTTGCACAGTCTAACACTGTCAACATGCTTAAAGGGAGCAGGTAACAGAATGGCATCATCAATTTGCTACTAAAACTTCAAAGTCCAATCACAGACTGAGCAGTATCCCAACCTGCCTGTATTGCTACAGGGGGTCCACATCTTGACAGCACTGCCTTACAGATGTAGCTGGATTACAAAGTAACAAATACTTTTATAAAATGTATACTTAATATTTAACAGTTTGCATGAGGTTCAGCTATAGACACAGAGGCTAAATTCAAACTAGCAATTAATGCCAGTACAAATTTTAGCGGCAGGAATCAGAGATTCTTACAGAGGCTCTCAGCAACTAGGTGCAGACCACTATAATGACAGGTCGCCAAAGGCTGCAGGTATTCACAGCAGTTGGCACAGCCAGTGATTACCTGCAGGGATTTCTGCTGGACAAACTTTGTGTGTGTCCAGCAGCAATCGTCGTAGGGAACGCTGGCGGTGCAGAGAGCTACGAAAAGCTGCGGCCTCTGCGGACCTGTCATTATACTGAACAGGGCCTGCGGCTGTACCTAACCACTAAGAGCCGCAGCAGGAATCAGAAGAAAAATTTGCACTGGCACTAATCACCTGTGTGAATGTAGCTTTATGCAATGTTTATTTGGGCTTCCGTGTGGTTACTCCTACTGTTACTAAAACATAACAACTGCATATCTTAAATATTAAATTGGTTGTAATCCAAAAATGTAGTAAACAGGTTCACCATCAGTTTAATTCTACATATTAAAGCAAACATTTTAACAACGGTTCTAAAATAATGCCATTTTATGGATAACTCAGTGGAAAACCTTGTTTGAGCATTCTCATTATCTTTTACAATGTCACAAAATCATAATTTTAACCTTTACTTAAAAACTAAAAAAAAAAACTGCCCTGAGGCTCTACAGAATAAAAACTTTCTTGTTCCTGTAAAATGAGATTGTAATACACTGAAAGCGATAAAAGGTCATGCACAAGACTTTGTAATACCTTGCATTTCATCATCTGCAAAGAGATTGCTTCCGCTTTACACAGAACATCATTAATTTCCAGCTTCATGGAAAGTTCATTGATATGCTAAAAAACAAAACAACATAACTCATAAAATAACACATTTTTCTATACTTATAATGTTCAAATGCATCTACGACTGCTTGATGTGTCTACACTGCAGCTGAGAGGTCAGTAGATCAGAATGTAAATTTTGTATGTCATCAGGTGTATAGATGGACAGAGCTGCAAAGCAGTAACTATACCAAATGGCAAATTGGTACAGTTTAAATGGCTTCAGATTAACACCTACTAAAAAATAATAAAGACAAAAAACAGATGCAGTTCATTGTGCACTGTGATATTAAAGCCATTTTTTTTAAAGAGATGCTTATAGTAGGACTTTCATGCTCTGGCTATTATTCTTTTTAACATTTCTCCTCTCCTCCTGCTCCACTAACTGTGACTCAGCCACAATGGCTGACTTCAGGTATGCAGGTGATGCTCCATGTGCTTACCGGAACCTATGGAGCCTCGCCAGAGTCTCCCATTCATGTGCATTCCTGTTTAGAACTACAACCTTACATGCAGCCATTCAAAGCACAGGCAGAGATTCAGAGATAAAGCCACACCTCTTCTCCTTCTCAATGGTGGTGACTGACAGTGGTTTTGGCTCTGTGTCCCTCTCAGGACCAACTGGACATAAGGCTGTAGTTGTAAACTGTTGTGTTTCTGTGGGAACGGTGAACACAATGATTACGAAGTGAAGCAGGCAGTCCAAGGATGATTCAGGGGTACTGACAAATCTTTCTATGACGAAGCTTTCCAGGCATTAAATGCTGGGATAAGTGTATAAATGTAGCAGGGGAGTAAGTCGAAAAATAAATGCAGTTTCCACTCCTTGAAATTTGTTCCTTTATTATATAAACTCAAATGTCCCGCTTTGACTTGAACGCCCCTCGCATTACTTCATATTTCATGTTGCCTGTTTAGGCACCTGATTTTCAGGCAGATACACCCCAAGCCAATCAGTTTTCTTCAAGTATTTATTTGGCTTTCAGTCTTTTCGTGCTGTACAATGACCAACGTAAGGCAATCTAGGTGGATTGAAAACTTAATGTGGACTAAAAGAAACTGCAAGCACTGTATAAAAAAAAAGGTTTGACTGATTAATGTCATAAGTATAGTAACAAGCTTGCAGTTTACTTCAGTCTTTAGTCCTGTTTTGTTTTTTTTTTCTTTTTTCCTTTTGATAATGGAGCAAAAAAAACCCTTGCACGTATGTCCTTACTCTACACTAGGGGATCTATACTGTAAAGCAGTGAATCTGACTTTCACCAAACATTCTCCGGAGGTGACACAATCACTGACATTTAAAAACACATGTACCTAGAAGATTCACTTGTAGAGAATGTCTGCTCAATGTCAGATTCCCTACTTTATAAACCCACCCCTTAGAGTTTAAACCTTATTCTGGTTAGCAATTTGCTAACTTATTACAGGACTAAGGATAGTGAAATGTTGTAAGGCACTGTAATTGCTGGACTGCAAACAGAATGCCAAAGTGCATTTTCTAACAAAGAACTATGACTGCAAAGCTGCAAAGCATAGAATCTTTTGTCATCTACACAGACCATTCAAACATTCTTTCACTATGTACAATACAATAATAATTGTAGTCTGACTGGCTACTTAGGAAAACAGAACTTTATCCTTTCCAGTTTTTATTCATGGAGCTCAAATATAGTAATCTCTACAGACACATCAACATGGATTTACTAAAATGGGAACCGATTATCAGTATTAATCTCCACACACACTGGCAAATCACTTTTCTTTGAAGCTGCCAATTTGTTCAGACTATCACATATTAATGTCAAAGTCAGGCCAAACACGCTTTAGATGCCAGTTATTCTACAAATCTTCTATTACTGAAAGTTAGGAACTCAACCAGCATGTTCAGACTGTTCCCTAGAAATTCCCTTACTCATGGTTACAGGAGAACTAAAGGGCTCAATCAATAGGCTGGCAGAGTTCCCCTCATGTCAAAGTGATCAATGGCAGCAGTATAACAGTTTCAACTGTACATCAAAAGTGACAAATGGCCTTATTCAAGTACTAATCCTTATGTGCAGCAACCCATAGTAACCAATCAGAGCTTACTCAGACCAGTACAAGATGGATTCGAGTTGGTTGGTATGGATAACTGCACTTAAGAATTATTATTGAAGAATAAGAACACCTTATAAAACAAGAGTGTGGCAAAAGTGAAAAATAATACATACTTATATACATATTTTATTGGACTTGGGACTTTAAAAACTATTTTGATACGTTAAGTGATCATAAAGTCCATAATATACCTTTAGAATTTCATTGAAGCCATAGTTCTGCTCCATTATTTGCTTCTTCTCCGACTCCAATATAGCACAACAAATGAGCAGATGGAAGTTTTGACAGGGTAAGCCTGTCCATATCACCTATAAAATTGTTGAAAAAAACACAGAAACTTTTTCTTTGCTATGAGTAATGACATCACAGCTAAAATAAAATTCAGGAATAAGTGCAAATTACTGATCTTTTATCATCCACATTTCTCATTCAAAGGAGAACCTTGTAATTATGTTTGCATGACTCAGCAATTTTGTGATCATGAATTCCATTAGTGAATTATGTAGCTACATTAGAAGCAGACACAGTGGTTTAAAAAGGAAACTATAACCTTTTCGATGATGTTTTTATAAAGGTAAACATGTGAAAATGATCTACGTAATGTAAGTTGTATGGTAGTGCTTTCAACACCTTGTCTGTATGCATAGTGTGCGGTTATACATGCATTAATGTGGCTGCTATATTCGCACTTTACATAAGCAGGGTCTGCTTTGTGTTAGTGAGGTAGTCATAGGAAAGTAAACCATGTACAATCTAACCACCTCCAGCACCTGAAAAGATGAAACTATGCAAGCAAAAAGGAGTAATTGAATTAGCTGGACATTATGTGTATGGATTATATAAATTAGAACACAGTGATTTCAAAAACTTCCACACTCCAGTCATGTTCTTGGACAATCAGCACCTGCTTTGAATACATAACACCATGGTGATGGTGGATTTGGGTGACTGAGCTACCTATGGAGCTAAAAACATTAAGAGAAATTCTTGAAACCCATCACAACTGAGGAAGCCACCTGGATGGCTACATAACAACATTACAAAACAAGTTCAGCTGAATAAGACTGTTACTAGTTATTGTTTTACATAAACGGAGGGACAAGTTGAGCAATGTAGCCAGAAAATGCTCATCTCAGAGGACTAGACTTTGTGCCAGCAGTTGTTAAGGTCCCCTGCCAGCTCTCGGAGCTCCTCCCCCCTGCCAAGTGTCCCCATAGCAAATGGTTTGCTCTGGGGACACTGGTGCATACTTGCTCCCGAGCCGGCCCCGTGTGTACATGAACACACAGAGTGTAGCTTGGCCCCGTCGTTAGCTTCCACTGCTGCTTTTCTGTCCAGTGAGATGAGAGCATTAGAGTAAAAAACCTTTTGCTTTTAGAACCACTTTAAACTAATATTAAGGGCCGAGCAAGCAGCTTGCTATGGGGGCACTTGAGTAGGCTTGCTCCCAAGCCACTGCTCTGTCTAATCAGACACGGAACATGGCTTGGCCCTGCTCACCACTCTCTTCTCATTGGATCACTGGCTGGCCTTACATGCACATCGCTAGATCAAGATGGGATTCAGGTAAGTATTAGCAGGGGCTGGGGGGCTGCTGCACAAAGAAGGATTTTTACCTTCATGCATAGAATGCATAAAGGTACAAAAACTTGAGCCTTTACAATAACTTTAAGACTTCATTGCCATATGAGTAGCCTCGCAGCATGAAGAAGGGAATAGATTTTTTTACTTTTATATCCAGTTTGCTACTTCAGTGTACATGATTTAACCTCCAGTGCTTGCATCTGTTTTCATAAGCATACAGTTGCAAGAAAAAGTATGTGAACCCCTTGGGATTAAGTGGAGTTTTGCATGAATTGGGCATAAAATGTGCTCTGAACGTCATCTAAGTCACAACAATAGAAGAACACAGTCTGCTGAACATAATACTACACAAACATTAGATGTTGCCATGGTTTAATTGCACATAACATGTAAACATTCACAGTGCAGGGAGGAAAAAGTATGTGAACCTTTGGACTTAATAACTGGTTGACCCTCCTTTGGCAGCAGTAACCTCAACCAAACGTTTCCTGTAGTTGCAGATCAGACCTGCACAACGATCTGGAGTCATTTTGGACCACTCCTCTTCACAAAACTGTTTCAGTGTAGCAATGTTCTTGGGATGTCTGGTGTGAATCTCTCTCTTAAGGTCATGCCACAGCATTTCAATCGGGTTGAGGTCAGGACTCTGACTGGGCCACTCCAGAAGGCGTGTTCTGTGCTGTTGCAGCCATTGTTTTGTTGAATTACTTGTATGCTTTGGGTCATTGTCCTGTTGCATCACCCATCCTCTGTGGAGCTTCGGTTGGCGGACAGATGGTCGTACGTTTTCCTGCAAAATGTCTTGATAAACTCTGGAATTCATTTTCTCATCAATGACAACAATCCGTCCAGGCCCTGAGGCAGCAAAGCAGCCCCAAACCATGATGCTCCCTCCGCCATGTTTTACAGTGGGGATTAGGTTTTGTTGTTGGTGTGCTGTGCCTTTTTTGCTCCACACATAGTGTTGTGTGTTCTTCATAAACAACTCAATCTTGGTTTCATCTGTCCACAGTATATTTTGCCAGTAGTGCTGTGGAACATCCAGGTGCTCTTTTTCAAACTTCAAAAGTGCTGCAATATTCTTTTTGGACAGCAATGGCTTCCTCCGTGGTGTCCTCCCATGTACTCCATTCTTGTTTAATGTTTTCCTTATTGTAGATGTGTCAACAAAAATGTTAGCATGTGCCAGAGATTTTTGTAGGTCTTTAGCTGACACTCTGGGATTCTTCTTTACCTCATGCAGCATTCTGCGCTGTGCTCTTGCAGTCATTTTTACAGGACGACCACGCCTAGGGAGAGTAGCAACAGTGCTAAACTTTCTCCATTTGTAGACAGTCTGTCTTACCATGGACACATGAACATCAAGGCTTTTGGAGATACTTTTGTAACCCTTTCCAGCTTCATGTAAGTCAACAATTCTTGATCGTAGGTCTTCTGAGAGCTCTTTTCTGCGAGGCATGGTTCACATCAGACAGTGCTTCTTGAAACCAGTAAACCCAAAACAGGTGTGTGTTTTTTAAGGGCAGGACAGCTGTCAGCAACACATCCAATATCATCACACTGATTGGAGTCAAGGTTGGCTCACTCCTGGCTCCAATTAGCTCTGGGAGAAGTCATTAAGCTAGGGCCTCACATACTTTTTCCTCCCTGCACTGTGAATGTTTACATGTTATGTGCAAATAAACCATGGCAACATCTAATGTTTGTGTAGTATTATGTTCAGCAAACTGTGTTCTTCTATTGTTGTGACTTAGATGACGTTCAGAGCACATTTTATGCCCAATTCATGCAAAACTCCACGTAATCCCAAGGGGTTCACATACTTTTTCTTGCAACTGTATATCATTTAGAACCCTTTTATTTACAAATAGGCATGTGCTTGCTTCTTTGTACAACATAGATAAAGGTGGTGCACATAGAGGCATCATTTGTTTAGTTATGTGGGACCATTTACTTGTATTATGCTTATTTTACTACAATGCATAAAAATTCACCTACACTCTGGTAGCTGAATGAGGTCTAAATGATTAAAGTATACAGAGAGTAACTGGAAGAAACATCTACAGATCTGTATTTATAATACACTATTAGAAATAAAGCACAGCAAGGATTAAAGATGATAAAAAGAAATAAAAGATTTGAAATGGAAAAGTAAAAATGCGGAAATATAATTATTGTGCACACGTTCAATAAAATATCCTCAAACTAAAATTAGCCATGACTTCTAACCCAGGCTTATTGTGAACCTACTGACAAAACGAGAACAAAAAACCCATGTCAAAGTATACATTAATATCTAAAACTTGCCATTATACTAGCTGTATATTTTACTGCAGTGTAGTTCCTTCTAAAGTACTGTATTATATGGAGCTGCATTATGTAAGCAGCTATAAATATTCATGAGAATGTGAACACCACATCAGCACATTTGCTGACAAACAGATTTGTTCACTGTGCTTCTAGAAAACTTGTACTGGACAAAACCTATGGAACATGCACTGCACTACTAACTGACACACACATTCCTCAGCGGCTCACCAGCTGTAACACTTTCCAATGAGGCATAAACATTTCCATACCGGGCACTTGGAAACTTTACCCCCTTCCTGCCCAGGCCAGGGCACTTTTTTCAGGCCAGTTTTCAGCGCGCTCTCACACTTTGAATGACAATTGTGCGGTCATACAACATTGTATCCAAACTAAAATTTTATCATTTTCTTCACACAACTAGAGCTTTCTTTCGGTGGTATTTAATCACCGCTGGGATTTTTATTTTTTGCTAAATTAACAAAAAAAAGTCCAAACATTTTGAAAAAAAAAACACGTTTTTCTTTGTTTCTGTTATAAAAGTTTGCAAATAGATAATAGTTCTTCATAAATTTAGGCCAAGATGTATTCTGCTACATGTCTTTGGTGAAAACAACCCAAATTAGGATGTATTATTTAGTTTGTAGGAAAGTTATAGAGTTCACAAACTATGGTATAGATCTGAATATTGATCAATCCTGAAGTACTGACAGCCAATCTAATTTCTTGAGGTCTAAGAATGTCAGAACAGTACAGATATCCCCCAAATGACCCCTTTTTGCAAAGTAGACAGTCTGACGTACTTCATAAGAGGCATGGCGAGTTTTTTGAAGTTGTATTTTTTTTGTCATAATTTTTCGGAAAATGAAAAAATTTTAATTATTTTCACTATTTTTTTTTTTACATACTGTCACCAGTGCAGTACAGCGTCATCATATAACTGGCATGGCGGTGATCAGGGACACTGACTGGTGACAGTATGAAAAAAAATATATATTTTTTTTTATTATTATTTTTAATTTTTTATTATTTATTTTTCTTTTTTTTAAGATTTTTTTTTTCATATTTCACTATGTTCAAAGTAGTACAATGTTACCATAGTAACATTGTACTACTTTGGGGAAGTGATCAGTATTTTTTTTTTTTTTTACACAATTTGCTTATAGCAAAGAATTACTTTGCTATAAGCAAGCATTTACCTGAATGACATTGATTCATTCAGGGTTTTTTTTTTTTTTTGTGCTTAGCTGTGATTTGGCCACAGCTAATCACATGATATGTGCATGTGATCGCTGTGACCATTCACAGCTAGACACTAGTATACAATGGATGGCATAAATGAAGCCATCCATTGTATACAACTGTCATTGGTCACAGCAGGTCACATGGTACCGGCAACGGGGGCCGGTACTCAGATCTGTCATCGGCCGTGTCCGAGGTACACGGCCGGTGACAGATTGCGCGGCTCTGCAAGCGCGAAAACTGCGCATGTGCGGGAGGACGCCATATGGTGTCCACCCGGAAATCTACAGCCTTTTCCCGGCCGCCAAACAGCTATTTGCCGGGCAGCTATTGGTTAATGATGGGATTTCCAATATATTTGATTTTTTGGGGTTTCTATTGCTTAGCAGGTATTGGTTAGGATAGCTGAATACCAATCTGTTTGGTCTCCTAATAAAGAGTATATTACGGCACCTATACTGTGATATTGTGTAGCTTTTCACTGTCCTATTTTTGTTGTTGTAACTATATTTGTAAAACCAAATAAAAATGTATTATGGGAAAAAAAAAATAAAGAGTACATTACAGTGTTGTAACTCTGCTGAGGTTGTTGTTAGATCAAACAGTTAGGAGGTGGCGTTTCAGCCAGACTTTGTATGGTATAGACATAAGAGAGTGTAAAAAAGTCTAAGTTTGTTTACTGATCAAAATGTTTAAAACAGAAGTTTTAGATATAAAAAAAACAAACAAACAGTCATACTCACCTAGATTGAAGTATCATCGATCCTATGCTGCAGTGTCCCCTGTCGTCTGCAAGACCGAGAACTGAGCGATCAAAGACTGCTGATCGCTCAGTTCTTGGTCTTCAGCGAGCACAGAGCCAGTGACTGTCAGTCACCGGTTCTCTGCTCCGCCCCTCCAGCACTCACTGGAGCGTCAGGCTGTGGAGGGGCTGGCTCAGGTCCTCAGCAGCATGGCGAGAGGCTAAGCCAGCTCCCAGTCTAGACATCTGGGTAGATCCTGACTTTAAACTCAGGGTCTCTGCAGAGCCTGGACCAGCTCAGTGATGTCAGCCGAGAGCTTACTTTAACCCGCTGTCAGCTGAATACAGGTCACAGGAGTGCTGAACTAAGTGCACTCCTATGACCTACAGGAGAAGTAGGGCCAAAAGAGTTTTATCCCTTCTCCTTTAAAAACAAATAATCAATGTTTCGGGGACTCCAAGGTACTTCTTTCTACACTAATTGCTGGTGAATTATGAAACGGGTTGGCTTGTTTTCAAACATTCAGATCAATAAACATATTTCAGGATTTCTTCAAGTCTATGTGTTTACTGGAGAGCCTTTTCCTTCTCTCTGTCCTGGATAAACAAAAAGAAAACAAGGGGAAATCCCACCTTTGATAGCTGTTACCAGAATGTGTCCTCTCTGGAAGATCTCTTTGACTTTATGTCCTGGTGATACCAGAAATTTTGGAATTCCTTTAACTCCCTGTCTTAGCAACAGAGGTCCCCAGACCAGAAAGTAAATCTCTCTAATGGTGATACAGAAAGCAGTGAAAAACTAACAGAGATTCCAATCTTCCGAGGATTTGAAGATAATTCCGCATGAGACAGCAAAATCACATAAATAAATTAAGAAACAAGACAGAGAGCAGGAAGGGTAAGCAGGAAGAGTTAAATGATCTGAAATTGTTATTTTCTATGGTATTGGAACTTACCTCCCACACTTGAAGAATATCATGAAAGCTAAATTCCCTTTTAAACCTGATCAGCAGCCAACGAAAACAAAAATATAAATAACCAGAGTCCTGAGATTCTAGAAAAGGAATGCACACAAAGCATATGTTAACGCGATCGTGCTGAATGTATTCTTAGTGCTTAGACCAACATTATTGTGACATAATACACACCAAGATAACTGCAAAATCCACTGTCCAGTAAACGCAGCAAAGTGCTAAGCTGCACCAGCTGTGTCTTCATGCCTTGCATTTGTTCTTCAAAATTTTGATGCTAAAAAATACATTTAAAAAATATGTGAGTAAAGGCTTACAACAGAGCTGCCAGCATATGATAAAGTATAGTAGAATGGTTTAAAGTGACAGTAAACCCTCTCATATACCCAAGCAAAGTGACTAGCCTCAGGTGATACACAGAGGAGAAACACATCCATCTACATAAGTTGTACCTGTTTATCTGCACCATCTATACTCTCTAGCTATTCAAAATGCAGAATTTATACAGCTTGTCTGAGCTTTCAGAAAGAAAGGGGCAGAGAACTCCCCTCAGTGAGGGGAGCTCTGAAAGCTGATTGGAAAGAAGGGCCACACACTCCCCTTCCCAGAGCACACAACAACAGAGCTGAGGCTGTCAATCACAGGCTATGCACTGGATCTCCCTCCATTGCCACCTTTTTTACCTCTGGGTGCCAGGAAAACGTGTCAGAAGTGACTCATACAGATAGCAGAAGGAGGAGGCAACAGAGAAATTACACTTAGTGCTCCAGATTGAGATAAGTACACACTAAAGAGGGATATGTTTTGTTCATTTTTCATGTCAGAAGTTTACAACCACTTTAATGACAAGTACACAGTAACAATGCTGTTGAATAATCAGCTAACTGAGCTTATGTCTTGCATGTTCCCTGCAACTTGTATAAAAAAAAACTGATTTTCTTTTTCTTTTTTTTAAACCAAACAATTCAATCCTACCCCACCATGACACTCAAACCTCCCCATTTGCCCATTAGTCTATCACTATAAAGGACCAGTAGGGAGTAGAAAGCATGATGTATAATATTACTCTTCATTTAATGAGAATAACTGAAAAATTATTTTACTGCAGAATCTTCTCTCAAAGCACAAGTTTACATTATCAGTTCATTTACCATTTGATCCATATATGATACAAAGCACCAGAAAGCATCCACTTCATTTTCCATCACATACAGGACAGGGGAAAGTAAGTCACTCATGCCTTGAACATATCCTTAAACAGAGAACAATTGAAAAGAATGAATAATACGAAAAACAAATAGGGTTGCAGTATTCAGCAACACATTACATGCAGCTATTCTTGAGGATCCCCACATGATTTTAGCGCATATGGCCAATGTTAAAACTATTCAAAACAACAAAAAGTGTGAATTTTTTTGGTGAAGCTTAAAGCATAACTAAAGACAAAACTTTTTTTTTTAGTTTAGGATAGAGTGGAGAGGGATTAGAACACCTGTCAGGTTTTTATTGCTGTCTGTGCCCCCGTTAGGGAGATCTACCCTCTCTATTTCTCCTGTTTACCAATATCATTGAAAGTGGCAGTAAAAGAAAATCACAAATTTTGGGTTGTCCCCAGAAAAGTAATAGAGGGGAAATCTTCCAATATGGATACTAGTTCTGGTTAACTTGGGGGTCCCCAAGGAATTCCCTTCATTTGCAGACATTTTCTCACTTCCTGTTTTGGCTATGGGACAGGAAGTGAAGGAAAATCTCCCCAATGGGACACAGATGGCAAAAAATAAACTGACGGGTTATAACCCTCCCTTACTCTATCTGAAATTAAAAAAAAAAACATTTTGCCTATAGTTTTATTTTAGGGATTATTAAACTCAAACACACACAGTTTTTCATTTTTTTTTATACCTGGTAATCCTCTAAATTAAACACTTTTGAACACGAGTGGTTATGCTCACTCCTCCACCGTATCTATAAAGGAAGCCATGGGTGTCACCCAGGCTGGACATGACATCTACTCCTCATTTCCATTACATGAGAGGTGGGGGGGAACAGTAATTTACAGAAAGAAGATAACAATGTTTGTGTTTTCAGTTCAGCTCACAGGAAGTGACAAGGATACTGCATTTCTGGCATGATTAACCGATATCTTCTAAACTTGCTGAAAACATTCTTAGCCTTAATTCAGTTTTCCTTCAAATCTAAACTCCAAAAAAAAAAAAAAAAAAAAAAAAAAAAAAAAAAAACTATTAGGTGAAGTACACACTATATCGGACAACTGCCAGAATACTTTGCCGGGTGTAGTAGGGGGCAGTATAGTGCGCATCTTATGGCTCCCTTTTTTTTGTTGTTTTGTGCAAACGTTTGTTTTGTATAAAGTGTGTTTTGTACAAAACGTACACTTCATTCATGGCGCTGTACAGCACTGTAGTGTGCTATGCTGCCTTACAGTGTAATGCAATTCTGTGCGCCAAAATAAAATTCATCTAAGTAAGTATCTAAGTGTGAGTGGGACACATAGGAAACAATTGTTTCCTGTTAGTCTTTGCGGTGACAGATGTTTTACAATGCAGTAAAACGTCTGTCACCACACACACTGTGTGAATTAGTCTTTATGCAGGCCATAGATGGGTCAAAAATCGGCTGATTTTTCGCCCGAAAAAAAAATCGGCCAATTTTCGCACCGTTAATGGGTTAATTGGTCGGCCATTTTTCTGGATTTTGGCACATTTTTTTAATCGGTAAAGTTGGAAAAAAAAAAAAAAAACGGCTGATGTTGCCAATTGGCCGATTTTAGCGGCAATGATGGGCAAATTGGCCGATCTTTTTACCAATAAAAAATCTGCGCATGAGCCATGAGCTGGAAGAGAAGAAGAAAGAAGAAGTAAGAAGAAGAAGAATTCCAGTCCGCTATTATATTTGCCATGAAAAAGTACTGCGGTTGCAACAATGTATCTATTTGTATCCGAATAAAAACATCTGTATCCGAAATGGATACAAATAGATACAATGTTGCAACTGCTATACTTTTAAATATCAAATATAATAGCGGAGCTCTCTGCAGGGACAGAAGTAATTAAATGCCGGCCGTAGATGGGAGGAAAATCGGCCGATTTTTTTTTACTGTTGGTGGTAACGTCAGCCTATTGAACGACCGATTTTTCATTTTTTTGTTAAAAAAAACGGCCGGTTTTTGACCCATCTATGGCCTGTATTAGGCCACATTCACATCTGCGAATAGGCCCAACACTGATTACATTCAAGAACCCCAGGGGGGATTCCAGGTGATAAGCTGTGGGAGGCAGCCCCATTGAAAGCAAAGTAAGGCTGCCGACTCCCGCTGCTATTCGCAGATGCTCACATGTAATCGCGCATGCAGTAATCACCTGTGAGTGATCAGCCCTGGATGTCTTTAGTAGGCATGCCAACAGTTAGAAAGCCCACTCAAGGTACTTTAAAGACCTTTACGAAAAGAATTATGGAGATGATCACTGCTTACAACTTCTAAAAAAAAAAAAACCCAAAAACAAAACAAAAAAAAAACCATTAGTCACTAACCCAGAACATGCAGATCAGGAATTTGGACTTCACTTTGACCTAACTTGCTGTATATTTGTCCTAGGTCAGTGATACAGAAAAAGTATTGAAGTCTGGCAGCTGCTATTTACAGAAAAAGATCAACAACGGTTGCCTCTATATTTTTCTCAGTACAACTTTTTCAATTAAAATCCTTCAATAATGTCTCATGACACCTCACGGCCAGACTAAGAAGGGCTTCCACAGTGTCTCCAGGCTAGGCTGCAACCTAATGTCAATCATTCTGTGACACTTCCCTCCCTGAGAAATGCATCCATCTGCATTCAATTCTTCCTGGAGGCTGAAGCTGAAGCGTACATATTTTCATTCTGAGCGATCACGTGAATAATTAGACTCAGGATTAGTATATTGAGGAACCACAAGGTTACAGGCAACCTGAGGATTTGACATATTGAAGCGGTCAAGCCCTGGAAATGTTAGCCATGTCTCATAAATGTTTCCATGCTTAATGTTTGACACTTGATATCCAATATGCTTTCACTATGCCTAATGAGCCTGGACTCCTATACATCACATTAGTTTTGTTTAAACCACTGCATCCATCTCTAGCACGTTAAGAATTGACAGTACTATAGATTGTTAGTTACGCACAACTCTGAATATTATTCAGTGTGATATCGGGAAAACTATAATAAAGGAAACAAATTGTTCTTGTGCAGTTTTTGCACTTGGCAAAGCTTAAAATATAAGACTGTATTTAGGTAGCCTTGTTCTTGTCCTGGAACAATGTTTTCTGTCCTGATCAGGCAAACACTGGGAGGAAATGGATAGAAGACATTACCGTCACAGCTGAACACTTTGTTTCAAAGAGGAGGATTTGAATGTCAGCCTGATAATATCTTAACAATCAATTTCTCATTACTGCACAAGCGATCTGGATAAATCATCCCAGCATGCTATTTAACACATGCGCTGCTGAAAAGCCCCAGACTCACTGCTGCACCATTATATAATTAACCAATAAGCCCCCTCCAGCATCAAAAGGATTAACTGATGACAAATTGGATCAAAGGAAACATGCATAGCATTTACGCTACTCCATCTTCTAAAGCTTTAGACCTAGACTCTAATTAAGTGGAACAACTAAGTGACTATGTAGAGAAAACACTCCTAAAGCAAAACTCTTTATTTGCAATGCCTAAAGAGCAATGATGCTGATTCAGGAGTAGCCAGCACTAAACAGGATTAAAGTGACACTCTAGGGCTGAAGAGCCCCGTAATCTTGCGTTTGCATGATTTTTTTCCTGGACACAGCCCAAGCACATGCTGGTTGATGTTTGGTTTTACTGACTTAACTGGCCCTTGTGTACCTTTATATAATTTCCTCGCTGATATCCCACATACTAGTAGAAAAGGACAAAAGAATTACAGAATTCAGTAGTCAGCTCAGTCTATGAGCATGTGTTTCCATTACAATGTTAAAGAACATTCAGAACAATTAGGCACCAGCAGTAAACTCTAGATACTGTCACTATGTGGCTGCTGGCCATTTTCCAGCAATGCATTAGTTACACTGCAGACAAACAAAATTATTCCATTTACAGTGACTTGAAAAAGTATTCATACCCCTTGAAAATTTCCACATTTTGTTATGTTACAACGAAAAACATAAATGTATTTTATTGGGATTTTATGTGATAACCCAACACAAAGTGGCACATAATATTGAAGTGGAAGGAAAATTATGAATAGTTTTCAACATTTTTTACAAATAAATATCTGAAAAGTGTGGCATGCATCTGTATTTAGCCCCTTTTACTCTGATACCCCTAACTAAAATCTAGTGGAACCAATTGCCTTCAAAAGTCACCAAAGTAATAAACACAGTCCACCTGTGTGTTTAGTCTCAGAATAAATATAGCTGTTCTGTGAAGCCCTCAGAGGTTTGTTAGGGAACATTAGTGAACAAACAGCATCATGAAGGCCAAGGAACACACCAGACAGGTGAGGGATAAAGTTGTGGAGAAGTTTAAAGTAGGGTTAGGTTATAAAAAAAATATCCCAAGCTTTGAACATCTCACGGGGCACTGTTCAGTCCATCATCCAAAAATGGAAAGAGTATGGCACAACTGCAAACCTACCAAGACATCACCGTCCACATAAACTGACAGGCCAGGCAAGGAGAGCATTTATCAGAGAAGCAGCCAAGAGGCCCATGGTAACTCTGGAGGAGCTGCAGAGATCCAAAGCTCAGGTGGGAGAATCTGTTCAAAAGACAACTATTAGTTGTGCACTCCACAAATCTGGCCTATATGCAGGAGTGGCAAGAAGAAAGCCATTGTTGAAAGAAAACCATAAGAAGTCCCTTTTACAGTTTGTGAGAAGTTATGTGGGGGACACAGCAAACATGTGGAAGAAGGTGCACTGGTCAGATGAGACCAAAATGTAACTTTTTGGCCTAAAAGCAAAATTCTATGTGTAGCAGAAAACTAACACTGGACCTCACCCCGAACACACCATCTCCACCATGAAACTTGGTGGTGGCAGCATCATGTCGTGGGGATGCTTTTCTTGAGCAGGACAGGGAAGCTGGTCAGAATTGATGAAAAGATGGATGGAGCCAAATACAGGGCAATCTTAGAAGAAAACCTGTTAGAGTCTGCAAAAGACTTGAGACTGGGGCGGAGGTTCACCTTCCAGCAGGACAATGACCCTAAGCATACAGTCAGAGCTACAATGGAATGGTTTAGATCAAAGCATTATCATGTGTTAGAATGGCCCAGTCAAAGTCCGGAACTAAATCCAACTGAGAATCTGTGCCAAAACTTGAAAATTGCTGTTCTCAGACGCTCTCCATGCAATCTGACAGAGTTTAAGCTATTTTACAAAGAAGAATGGGCAAAAATTTCACTCTCTAGATGTGCAAAGCTGGAACAGACATACCCAAAAAGACTTGCAGCTTTAATTGCAGCGAAAGGTGGTTCTACAAAGTATTGACTCAGGGAGGCTGAATACAAGTGCATGCCCCACTTTTCAGATATTTCTAAAAAAGTTTGAAAACCATTTATCATTTTCACAATTATGTGCCACTTTGTGTTGGTTTATCACATGCAATCCCAATTAAATACATTTACGTTTTTGGTTATAACCTGACAAAATGTAGAAAATTTCAAGGGGTATGAATACTTTTTCAAGGCACTGTAAAACGAGCCTATTGCCTCAAATACACACACAGTAATGGTCATGTTCACCAGACAAGTCTACAAATCCTTACGGCTACTGGAACTGCCAGTCCTGCATCTTAAATTTTTCAGAACTTGTAGTTTATATACATGACACCATACGATATTTTAATATGCGCTTACTTCAGGTAAAATAAGTATTGAACACATCACCATTTTTCTCAGTATATATATTTCTAAAGATGCTATTGACATGATATGTTCACCTCATGTCGGTAACAACTCATGCAATCCATACATACAAAGAAACCAAAACAAATAAGTTTAGAAATTAAGTTATGTGTAATAAAATGGAATGACACAGGGAAAAAGCATTGAACAAGCTAACTCAAAATTTATTTAATACTTCATACAAAATGCTTTGTTGGTAATGACAGCTTCAAGACATCTCCTGTATGGAGAAACTAGTCGCATGCTTTGCTAAACTGTGATTTTGGCCCATTCTTCCATACAAGCGGTCTTCAAATCTTGAAAGTTCCGTGGGTCTTCTCTATGAACTCCGATCTTTAGATCTTTCCATTGATTTTTTATTGGATTCAAGTCAGGTGATTAGCTGGGCCATTCTAGCAGCTTTATTTTCTTTCTTTGAAACCAATTGAGTTTCCTTGGCTTTGTGTTTGGGATCATTGTCTTGCTGAAATGTCCACCCTCGTTTCATCATCCTGGTAGATGGCAGCAGATTTTTATCAAGAATGCCCATTCATCCTTTCTTCAATGATATGAAGTTTGGAAGTACCGTATGCTGAAAAACAGCCCCACACCATGATGTTCCCACCTTCAAACTTCACTGCTGGTATAGTGTTTTTGGGGTGATATGCAGTGCCATTTTGCCATTTGACCTCCAAACATGGTGTGTATTAAGAAATCCAAAGAGTTCAATTTTGGTTTCATCTGCCCAGACTATATTCTCCCAGTATTTCATAGGCTTGTCTAAATGTTGTGCAGCAAACTTTAAACAAGCTTTTTCTTCAGTAATGGAGTCTTGTGAGGTGAGCTTTCATAGAGGCCATGGCGATTGAGTGCATTATTACTCTTTTCTTTGAAACAATTGTACCTGCTTGTGACAGCAGAAATATTTTATTTTTGTGTTGTTTTGTTGAAGTCAAGCAGTCAGCTTGTCTGCTTAATTCAATTTAGGAGTTCCTGTGCCCCACAGGGGGGTGGGAGATGAAGTTGATCTCAGCGGGAGGCACAGAGAGCAGTGTCCTGTAGCTGGATAAAGCCAGATGTGTCAGCACCAGGTGTTTGAGGTTTGGTTGAATTGAAGGGACAATATATTTTCTTTATGCTGGCAGAATGGCTCAGACCTTTTCCTGAGTTTACGCCTGTGATGGACACACAGGAGCTGAGGGCTGCATGTCTTCCTAGAAGGAAGTTAGAAGATAAGCAGAACTGCTGAGAAAGATAGTCTTTGTATGGGCTGTGCTCTGCTTTCTAAATTGCTGGGACTTGTAGTTTCATATTGTCCTTGTGGCTTCCTGGGACTGTCCCCCCTGCTAGCTCTTCTCCTCACCTGCTGTTGTGCTGAGAGAGGTCTTGTGCTGTGGTCAGATCCTACAGCCTCCTCTCCATCCCAGCAACCATGGACCTCGAGGAGCCTGGCTGGCCTGCCACTGCTACTGGCCCCTTGCTCTTTCCACCACTCGCCAGAGTTCTGCCTCCTTGCTGTGTGCCAACCCCTGTGCTGAGGATTTAACCCTGACTTAACCCTTGCCTGCCAGACTTCTGTCTCCTTGCTGTGTGCCAACCCCCATGCTGAGGACTTAACCCTTGCCCACCAGAGTTCTGCTTCCTTGCTGTGTGCCAATTGCTGTGCCGAGAACTTACCCCTTGCCCGCCAGAGTCCTGCCTCCCTGATGTGGGCCCACACTGTGCTATGGACTAACCCACTTTGTCTACTGGACTTCTGCCCCCTGCTGTGTGCCTAACCTCTATTACGGATTTAACCCACTATTGCCTACCAGAACTCGGTCATCGTTGCTGTGTGCCCCACCCTGTGTTACGGACTTAACCCTTTTTTTCTGCCAGAACTCTGCTATACTAATCGTGTGTGTCCTCACTATCATTTAATACAAGTCTTGTGTGTCCCACTGAGCTCTCTGCGTGTGTTCTGTTCCACCCACTTCTCCGTCACACTGCTAATTCCAGGTCTTTCTGAATTTCGCCACAAGTGGTCCTCGGCTCTTGGAGATTAATTGTGTCTATGTACAGCATTTTCATTTAGAAGAAGCATATTAGTACACTATGAGGTTTGTGTTTCCTTGCTTATGGGCTTGAAAAATTTTAAATCTTGACACGTCTGGTATCTATTTACTTTGCACAACCTCATATTTTGTATCTTACCAAAAAATAGGTATTACATTTTGTTTGTGTGCACAAAAATGCATTTAGGGGTATTTCTTCCTGAAATTTTGCCTTTGATAAATGACTGTGCAATATAAAAAAAAATTGCAATAGCCACCATTAATTCTCTGGGGCCTCCGCTTTTAGAAAATTTTAAGCACAAAACTGAAAAATGGCCTGGGCAGGAAAAGAGTGCAACATACTGGTCCTGAAGTAGTTAAAAAGGCACTGAGCAATGTATCAAGTTATGTAACCCACAGCATACTCATCAGGCATCTTATTGTATGGACTGAAATTAATGAAAGATAAGATCTGATTGGTAGCTTCAGGTTACAGCACACTGAACATCATCATTGCTCTTCTGTACTAACGTGAATGTGGTATTACAAAGGAAAACAAATGTCACATCCTAGTCCCCAGAGATGTATTCTTACAATAGTGTAAAACATGTGTTGGCATATTGGGATGATTGCAGATCCTGAAGAAAGGCCTAACATTTTTTCAGTGTGTGTCTTCAACTGTCGTGTCAGATGAAAATACTTCTCTCATCTCTTCAAAATAAAATAAAACACAAGATTTTTGACATTCAAGTGATATGGGAAGAGAGTTGCATTTTTTTCTAGCACTGAGAAAGTTATACTAATTAAAACTAAAAGACATTTCCTCTGCAAAATTGGAATATGCACTTACCAAGATCAAAATTGTACATACAATATGTCATCAAAATGTCATGAAGTAAAATTAATCCAGGATTATCTTGGCCTTCATAAAACTTGTTTGTTCGGTCTGTGCGGTTCACATCTTTCTCTAGCATGATGGATAAAGAAAATGACATTAAATATTTAAGAGAGGAATGGCTAATTTACAACAAAGCCATATCTGGTGTGCACAGAGTGTTTGGCATACTTCTGTCGGAGAGCTTAGAATGACAGCTCCTCATAATGAATGCCAGGGAGGAATGCATTACAGGGCACTTCAGATCATTCAAAGGGCAGCGCTACATTAAGCTGATTTATATTTCACATTAACCGAATACATCTTTATGTAACAATGCTGATTTTTATTCTGGGGATTTCTGCATGTTTAACCAACCTGCAAAGGCTCAATGTGAAAACACGAGACTGTGCCGACACAGAAAACATTATACTGAGCAAGAAAACATTATACAGATCATGTTCTCCATACAGCTGAAATTTTACATATCAACACATTGATTACCATGTACAATCTGAAATTTAAATGGAAAAGGCACATCTAAAAATTAAAAAAAAAAAAAACACACAGCAAAGCTGTAGTAATTAGGTCCTGAGTTTTTTTTTTTTATCCAGGACAGAGAATGAGAAACATGGTCGTCTGCTACAGCAAACAATCAAAGCTTTATAAGCTCCAGTCAGCTTCATATTGTGCAGAAAACTGGATTGAAGGCATGGGAGGAACAGCATAAAGACTGCCCTCTACTGATCATTCAATGAATAGCCAAATGTTCAAAGCCATTTTTGTATCTTTGAATATGATAAACAGGTCAGAAAATGTACAGTACAGCTGATAAATGCACACCGCACTAAACTGAAGTGATTCTAAACCTTAAAACTTTTTGTTTAAAAAATACTTACCTGCTCTGTATGATGGTTTTGCACAGAGCGGCCCTGATTCTCCTCCCTGATGGTGCTCCTGGCTCCTCCCCCATGGCAAGTACCCATCCCCAACAAGTGGCTTGCTGAGGAGGAATACCTACCTCGCTCACAAACCCCGCTGCCAGCATCTATAGACATAAAGAGCAGGGCTTTGCCTCACGCTCTCGTCATGGTAATTGACTTACAGTAGCAGGAGCCAATGGCTCCCTCTGCTACCAATCTGCCCTATGAGGAGGGAGAGAGTGGAGAGAGCAGCTGCTCTTGTGCACAGCGATGGATCAAGGTCAGGCTCAGATAAGTATAAGGGGGTTGGAATCCTGGACGCAGAAGGTAGAAGTTTTTTTTTTTTGTTTTTTTTTTAACCTCAATGCAAAAATGCATTAAGGTAAAAAAAAAAAAAAAACCTTAAGCACTTGTCCTCCAGAAGATTTACCCCCCTTAATGACCAGGCCATATTTTGCTATTCGGCACTGCGCTATTTCAAATGGTAACTTTTTGTTTACTTGAAAAACAATATTATTGCCAGAAAATTACTTTGAACCCCCAAACATTTCATTTTTTTTTAAAGCAGAGGCCCTAGAGCAGGGGTGTCAAACTGGCGGCCCTCCAGTTGTTGTGAAAATACAAGCCCCATCATGTCTCTGCCTCTGGGAGTCATGCTTGTAACTGTCAATCTTGCAATGCCTCATGGGACTTGTAGTTTGGCAACAGCTGAAGGGCTGCCAGTTTGTCCCCCGTGTCCTACAGAATAAAATGGTGGGTGTTGAAATTTTTTAAGTCACACAGTATTTGCGCAGTGATTGTTCAAATGCAAATTGGAAAACATACACTTTTTCAAAGTTTAATTCACAAAAACACAAAAGACTGCCCAATTTGTTGATAAGGTATTAAATATGATGTTATGCCGAGCAAATGGATACCAAACATGACATGCTTTAACATTACGCACGCCCGTGCAATGACGACAAATTATGTAAATTTTTTAATATCCATAGGCAATGCATCTAAAAGCCTTTATAGGTTAGCACTTTAGATTTACACAGGAAGTCTAGTGCTAAAATTTCTGCCCTCAATCTGACGTCTGTGGTGATACTTTACATGCATGGTGCAATCTCTTGCATTAGCCTTTGTGCGCAATCACAAGGATGGGGGTGAATGTTTTTTTTTATTATTATCATTTATTTTGCTTTTATTTATTGGAGTCCTTTCCCGCTGCTTGTAAAAGCGACCCAGCGGCTAATTATTGGCTAGGATTGTTTTTACATGAAAGCTGACCGCCAGCTGAAAAAACGATACCAGGATGATGCCTGTAGCTGCAGGCATCATCCCGAGAATACCAACTCAAATCCAGCATCGTACCAGTAAGTTGCTGGTCCATGTTGGTCATATATGTAACAGCAGAGAACATGGGCATAAGATGAATTGGGTCTTTGGGCCAATATGACCGCAATTCATTCTTTTTTGTAATGCCGATTTAAAAGTTTTAAATTCGGAAGCCATGATAGGCTTCCATGCGAACTGTCTGGCAAGAGCTGAATTTGGGTGGGCGGAGATATATTGTTGTGCGTATAAATTTCTTTGGCCCACAGTCAATTCATACAAATCTTCCGTGCACAACAGCGGAGGGGTTAAATGCAAGTGCTAGCAGCGAATGGCACTGATCTTGCTAACACTGCGTTTTTGGGGACACTATACAAAAGAGGCACAAGTATAGTTCTGTTCGTGATCAATATATTGATCTGTACAAAACACTATACTAGTAATGGCGGTGATCAGTGGCCTATAGTGTGAGTGTGATAGTGTGCGGGCAATCTAGCGCTAGCTGACCCTGGCTGGGAGGGGCGCTAACTGACCCTGACACTCACTGATGTCACTAGCGGCAGTAATACAGTGATCTGTGAAAAATTCTATATACTGAAAATGTACTAATGACACTGACTGGGTGGTGGGGTGATCAAAGGGTTAATAGGGGCGATCAAAGAATTAAATGTGCTAATCGAATATGTGTGTAAAATGTAGTGCTTTTACTCAGTACCATGTTCGTTCTTCTCTCCCTGGATGGCATAGGGAGCAGCGGAGGGTGCACGCACACCAGAAATAGAAAGCAATGTAAGATTACATCGCTTTGCCCAGTGCCACTGCTTGTCCGCACACTGTTGGTGGGCGGCAAGTAATTAAAAAAAATTAATTCTCTAATTTTTTTAAATATAATTTTTTTTTTTTTTTTTTAAATACTTTCATCAGAGTAATGCAATGTTACCATAGTAACATTGTACTACTCCAGGGGGGTGATCTGGGATTTTTTTTTTTTTGACACTTTGCATTGCAGGAGTAAGGAGCTTGCTTTGAACTGTCATGAATGTGTTAAGTTCATGACAGTTCAAATTACAGTGATCTGTGATTGGCTCCAGCTGGTCACATGGTACAGGGTGCTGTAACTGGCCCCATGTGTGAGCTGTGGACCAATCACAGCTCTCCAAGAACAGAAGCAAAGCTTTTATGAATCAGGTAGATTCATAAAAGCTTTGTTGTCAGTGTGATCAAGTGATCGCACAGCGCTCCACAGACACATACAGCAGGACTTAGCTCCGCCCTCCACTTCCTCCTCACTGCATTTCCCCTTCAAAATTACTCTCCCACTGTAGTGTCCTCTGCCCCCCTCCCACAACAGTATTGTTCTGTGACCCCCCCCCCCAATGCAGTGTCCACTTCCCCCTTCACATCACCCTTCCCCCCACACCGTAGTGTTCCCTGCCCCCCTCCCCAACATTATTGTCCTGTTCCCCCACCCAAATACTGTGTCCTCTGCCCCCCCCTTCACATCACCCTCCAACCCACTGTAGTGTCCTTTGCCCCCTCCCCCCCTCACTGTAGTGTCCTATGCCCCCCATAGCAGTGTCCTCTTCCCCCTCCACATCCCCCCTGCCCCCCCATAGCAGTGTCCTTTGCCCCCTCCCACAAAGCAGTGTCCTCTGCCACCATTCACATCACCCCCTCCCTTCCCCAATTTAGTGCCCTCTGCCTTCCTTCACATCACACCCCCTTCCCCCACTGTAGTATACTCTAACCCCCCCCCCCCCCCACCATACCCCCATCAGCAGTGTCCTCTGGCCCCCTGTGCAGCTAACCCTACCTGCCAGCATGTGTACAGCAGCGCAGAGATCAGGAGACAGCACAGTGCTGGGTGGAAGGTGGGTGCTGCCAGAGTTCATAATAACAAGCTGGTGATTGGTTTCTAGAACTGCCTAGCAACCAATCACTGAGGCAGCTTCCACCACTGCCCTGCATCCAGAACTATGCTGCCTCCTGCTCCCTGCTCTGCAGTTAATGTGAGAGCGGTGGAGGCTGAGGGGAGGCACAGCTGTGGTCACGATCTACCTGGCTACTCTCTGCGGTCGACAGGTCAAACATAATCAACGGCTTGCGGACCCCCACTTTAAGACTTTAGAACCACTTTAATCAGTTAAAGGAACACAGCTTTTGTGGGGCTAAACCAGAAGGTCCAGAAATACCACTAAAAAAAAAAAAAGAAAAGAAAAACTGTGCTGCAGTACTTAGCACTTTAAAGTGGACTCTGTTATTCTACCCTCCTTCCTCCCTTGCTTGCAAATTGACATTGTTAGGGGAAAAAAAAAAATGATTTATTTGTGCTGCAAAACAGCACTTCTGTGTTTCCCGCCTAGGTAAACATTTCCTCCGCCCCCCTGCACATGAGCAGATGTACTGCAGGGATCAGGTCTGAGGTTCCCAAGCCATCTGAGCAGGGTTTCCTGCACACATGTATACATACACACAAAGACTGCTACCACGAAAGTCAGAGACCTTTCCTCTATCTGCATGCATAGAAAATAACCTGCAAGTTGACCGATGTGCCAACAGGCTCTTTCAGGGCAAAACAGCCTAGCAGAGCCCATGGGCACATTTAGTGGCACCTGAGGCGGGAGCAAAGCCACCTGGGAGACAGACTGAAGTTCCATTTTAGTTCTACCAGTAAAGTCTACCCTGTGCACCTTTTTGCTACTGCTACTGTCACCCTCATGCAGGCTGTGCCTGCTTGCACTCCCGTGGGATGAAATGATATTGCAGAGGATGAGATCCATATATGGTGGTCCGGCCCCCGCCTGGTGGGCTTTTTGGTCGCCGGTCTACGGCCTCCTTTCGACCCTTTTCCATGTACCCTTCCACAAGGACCCCCGACATGCACTTCTCCACTGCCCACTCCCAGAAATTGGCCACCTACTTCTTGATAGCTGCAAAAGGCACCAATCGCCAGGGCTTTGAAAAAGCCCTGGGTTGGGTGCGTGGATGTGAAGAGGATGTTGATCACTCATGGTTCATGAGAAAATGACAAGTATACTCCATGACCCCCATTCCAAACTCCTCAAACTGCAGAGCCCATGGTGGTCTTATGCTCTCCACTCTGCCTCCAATCAGCCTGGGTATTCCAGATTGTTATGGGACGCCATGTGAGTCACAGGCACCTTCTTTCGCTCCTACCTAGATTTGCTCCTCTCTCTCTTCTCTCACTTCCTCACTGTCTTCTCTTTTTCTTCCCTTCCCCACCTTTCCTTCCTATTCCTCTCCCAGCCCCACCTTTTTTTTTTCCTTTCCTTCCTCCTCCCTTATTATTTTACCTCCCACTCCACCAAGGGTACGGAATACCCACTCCCTTCACCATCTCAAGCCCTGGGTCCTTGCACCCAGACATATGTTGCCACTTCCAGCACTGGCTGCTGGATGCTACTGTTCTCTTGTTTTGAAAATGTGAATTGTTTGCAATCACAAGTTTTCTTTTGTGATCCTGTCCCCTGCGCAGGTCCTAACTGCTCAGTTTGTACTCTGTTACTATTACTCAATAAAAAACCATTGTCCCAGAAAAGATATTGGAGGGTGTGGCTATAGCATTGTCTCTAATGATTCACAAGCCTGTAGTCTGTCACTTATTAGGCTACACCTACCCCTGCCCACTTCTTTCGGGATTGGCAGGGCTGTCTCTGTTGATCTAATCCATGCACTGTGAGCAGCAGTGCCTGGGAAGGGAAGCATTTGAATCACAAATGTAAGCTCACTCAGAGAGAGAAATTAAGTTTTCTTTTCTACTTTACCAGGCTTATGTACCACATAGTAACTAGATTTAGGACCGGTTTAGCCTTTAGGTGTACTTTAAAAAAAACACCTGTTACTTGGCACCATATAAACTGCAGCTTAACACAGTGTTTGATTTATGAACAGATCAATGCGGTAGACAATATCTGCTATTCACATTTGTGCGTTTTTTTTAGTGAGTTTACAGATCTGCAGAAGCACAACACAGTGTATTTAACATTATTTCCAAGGGGTCCCATTCTCATCAATGCAGTTTCCTGCAGTGCATTTTTGGAAAAGGTGCAGACTATTTTTTAGATGCAGCACTGTACATTTTTTGCTTTTTTAGATTTCAATGAAACCACATCAAATTTGAATCAAAACATATGTGCATTTCTGGTGCATTTTGTAGGGTTTAGTGTTCAACAGTGTCCTCCTACTAGGAAAAAAAAAAAAACAGCAGAAGCATGGAAATGCATCAAACGCATAAAAAAAAAATCTCTGTGTAGCGCATTTTTCAGGGTTTAACAACTTTACGACCTGCTCACATTAAATGTACTGCGAGCATGCAGCAGCTACAGGCTTAGAGACATGCCTGTACATTGCTGAGCACATGCACACTGGCGTGCCCATTGGGATGCGTAGCTGTGATCACAGTGGACAGGATATCTTGTGATTGCTATGACAAATCATAGTGGTCACATGAAATTATGCATTTATTTATTGTATTTCAGATACTTATATAGCGCTATCAATTAATGCAACACTTTAAGTATATAATATTCATTTACATCAGTCCCTGCCCAAGGAGATTACAATCTAAGGTCCCTAACTCCCATTCATACATGCACATAATAGGGCCAATCAGCCTGCCAGCAATTGTTTGGAGTGCGGGAGGAAACGGGAGTACCCAAAGGAAACCCATGCAGGCACAGGGAGAACATGAAAACTCCATGCAGTTTGTAAGCAACTGTTATGAATTGCTTTCAATCATAAACAGCTTGCTTACGGTTGTAATGCTGAGAATAGCCCACAGCTATCACATAGGTATCTGGCACCCTCTACCATGTGATGAGCACTAGCCAATCACGGCATGTCACCACTAGGCAAGCTGTCATGTATGGAAAGCCATTTATTAGAGGTAACAATCTCTTTTAACAGTGATCATCACTGTTATAAGCAATAACAATGGTAAAAAAAATCTTTGATCACCTTCCAGAGAGTAGTACAATGTCACTATGGTATGTCATTTTTTTTCTTTGACATACTGGCACCTGTCAGTATCCCTGATCACCGCCACATCAGTCATACAGTCATATGATGATGCTGTTCTGCACTGGTGACAGTATATTACAAAAAAAAATTGGAAAAAAACCCCAAATATTATCTTAATTTTCCAAAAAATTGTGACAAAAAAAAAAACTAGAACTTCAAAAAAATCACCATGCCTTTTTCTAAATACCTTGGACTGTCTACTGTCCAAAAAGGGGTCATTTTGGGGAGTATTTGTACTGTCCTGACATTTTGGGGCCTCAAGAAATGTGAGAGGCCATCAGCACAGCAGGACAGATCAATTTTTAAATATATAAATATACCATAGTTTGTAGACTCTATAACTTTAACACAGACTAAATAATTTACACTGATTTGGCTTATTTTTACTAAAGAAATGTATAGAAATATATTTTGGCCTATATTTATCAAGAAAGATTATTCGTTTGCAAAATTTTATAACAGAAAAATGTGTTTTTTTTTTTGTTTGTTTTTTACAGTTTCAGTATGTTTTCTTTATATAGCAAAGAAAAAAAACTGGTGAAAAAATACCCCCAAAAGTAAGCTCTATTTGTCTAAATTATAATTATAAAAGTTTAATTTACGTACAGTGTTGCATGACCGAGCAATTGCCAGTTAAAGTAGCACAGTGCTGAACAGCAAAAAATGGCATGGTCATGAAGGGGGTTAAACCTCCCAGAGGTCAAGTGGTTAAAATAATGATTTAAGATTGTGTTGATTCTTTTCTGAACATACCTATTAAACTCCTGTAGTCTCTTAGTCTTGAATTGCGCTTTTCTTGCTCTTCGCTGACCGACTTCCACTGGAGTTTCATTCGAAAATACTCGTCTCTAAATAAAAGAATTAGGGGGGATACCAATTACAATAGCTATTGAAAAAATGCCCTGGCCAAGCCAATCTAGCTATAACAATTCCAAAATAAGTTTGCTCAGGTAAAGAATCCCACATTAGGTCTTAATACATTTATGGAAAATAAATTATATTATCAGTTTACGCTGTTCTCTCTGTGAAGAAACTGAAATAAAACATTAGACAATGCCGTGAAATGGCACTTTAATTACCATGTAGAAGTGAGCGCTAATAAAAATGTCAAGAGAAAAAGATTACTCCCCACCTTTGTTATACAGCGCAATGTAGGGAAAAAAAGGTTAATCGAATTAAGGGAGAAACTGGAGGTTTTATTCTACTTTAAATGACTTTCTCCCTTCTCCTATCTGATCACTCTGTCCAGAGCTGAATAAAACTATTTAATGTAATGAGCCATAAATGTAGAAAAGGTCTGTCTATCCACAAGCTGAGGAATATACATGCTTAGGATGTGAAGGCAATGCCTGAATAGTCCTTTTCATTTTCTGAATAGAGCTGATAAGCCTAAACTTGGTTCGAGAAAATAGGACAATGAGTATTTTCAAGTAAAATCTGCAGAACAGGGAACCTTGCTTGTTATATAAAGTTGATGCGCACGTACATTATCCATTTAATTAAAAAAAAATAATGAATTAGAGGTTTATGACAAAGTGCCTCCTGGTGGTCAGAAAGAAAAACAACTACCATATTATATCACATTCACAGCTACACTGATTCAAGAACAATAATATCTCAGTGATTCTCTGAACAGCGTTGTGTGGCACTTCAGAGAAAGTAGTAGTTTATTGTGTATAAATATGTGGCTAAATTGTTGTTAAACTGACAAATTTTATTTGAAATGTTATTGAATTTTATCATGTCCCAAAACACTGGACTCATTAGTCCTGCAAAATGCAAGTCAGTAACATTTTTTTTTTAAAAATGATAATCTCTCATTTTAGTACTTGATTCTGTCATATTAAAACTGAAGGGTTCTTTCATACAGGGTTTCTGATCAGGTCCACCTGTCAGTTTTTCAGACAAATCTGACTGTAAGTCTTTGGGCAGGCGGATGTAAACAGTAGTTTGTTCGTTTTGCATCCACTTACCTCTAAATCCGACCAGACCGGAGCTAATCATGACGGATTAGAGGTAGACACAAGTCTGAGTTACAGATGGGGGGTTAACCAGTGACTGAAGAAAGTGTTTGCAGAAAACAGTTTATTAAATAAAAATGTCTAAGCAGTAAAGTATTTGTGAACACTGACCTTGTAAAATAACCCATTCAGATTAAAAGAGAAATGAAAGGTGACACACTTGTGTGTATAGATACCAAAAAAACGTTATAAAACACTTTTTTCCTTTTTTTATAAGTGATCAAATTCCCTCTGTTCTCACCTGCATAAGGAGCTGGAGAGAGCTAGGGGAGGAAAACAGCAGCACACTGATCTTCCCAGTGAATGGCTGTGCAGGGGAGGGGGGGGCGGTGGCAGGACAAGTCTGATCATTGGAGCATAGGAGACTGAGTTCGCAGCAGAGCTAGAGAATTGACCATGCTTTGATCTCAAACCTAGTGTGGTCAGTTTTAAATATAAAAACAGAGGTACTGGCAGGAACACCAGGGATTTCATACAAAGGAAGTAATACAAAGAGTACAGGGTACTTTTTCATACAAGTACATGGTACAGGAGACACATATCAGGAATGTTGGATTTACATATTCCTTAATGTGTGTGCATTATATATATATATATATATATATATATATATATATATATATATATATATATATCCATCCCAAAAGTATTGGGACACCTCTCCAAATCATTGGATTCAGGTGTTCCAATCACCTCCAAGGCCACAGGTGTATAAAATCAACCACCTAGGCATGCAGACTGCTTTTACAAAACATTTGTGAAAGAATAGGTTCCTCACAGGAGCTCAGTGAATTCAAGATTGGTACTGTGATAGGTTCCCACCTGTGCAGTAAGTCCATCCATGAAATGTCCTTGCTACTAAATATACCACAGTCAACTATTAGTGGTATTATAACAAAGTGGAAGCAACTGGGAACAACAGCAACTCAGCCACGAAGTGGTAGACCATGTAAAATGACAGAGTGGGGTCAGCGCATGCTGAAGCGCACAGTGCGCAGAAGTTGCCAACTGTCTGCAGAGTCAATAGCTAAAGACCTCCAAACGTCATGTGGCCTTCAGATTAGCACAACAACAGTGCATAGAGAGCTTCATGTAATGGGTTTCCATGGCTGAGCAGCTGCATCCAAGCCTTACATCACCAAGTGCAATGCAAAGCGTTGGAGTCAGTGATGTAAAGCACACCGCCAGTGGACTCTACAGCAGTGGAGACGTGTTCTCTGGAGTGACGAATCACACTTCTCTGTCTGGCAATCTGATGGATGTGTCTGGGTTTGGTGGTTGCCAGGAGAACAGTACTTGCCTGACTGCATTGTGCGAAGTGTAAAGTTTGGTGGAGGGGGAGGATTATGGTGTGGGGTTGTTTTTCAGGGGTCAGGCTTGGCTTCATAGTTCCAGTGAAGGAAGAGAAGGCAAGCCAGGCCTTCTCGTCCGACATCAGTGCCTGACATCACAAATGCACTTCTGGAAGAATGGTCAAACATTCCCATAGACACACTTCTAAGCCTTGTGACAGCCTTCTCAGAAGAGATGAAGCTGTTATAGCTGCAAAGGGTGGGCCAACTCAATATTGAACCCTAGGACTATATATATGTAAACAGACACACACACAGTACCTTTCAGAGAAAGTGGGGGAATACCAAAGAGAAATATGTCAGTTTTTTTGGTGTAAAATTGGGCTCGCCCACACTATCGCGTTATTCATTCACAGAGATCTGTGAATGAATAAACTACAAGTCGTGTCTGCCACCAGCATTAGTTCCTAATGGAGCATGAGTGTAGTATCCACTCACTTACAGTCTGTTGACACTTCCTCCAAGAGCTAGAGGAAAAAGATTGCAGGAGCTTGACATTGCACCCGTGATCCACTGAATGCAGGTACAATGTCTGCAGGTTCCTATACAAAAAAAAAATCCTTTGGTCAGCTGCCCGGTACTTTCTTATATATTGATTGGCATTTAATGATTTGTTCAGTAACTGATGTTTTCCTTTCTCTGTTTTGTTGAAACTCTAAACTAAATAAAAACGTTAAAGTGATTGTAAAGGATTTTTTTAAAATAACAAACAAGTCACACTTACCTGCTCTGTGCAATGGTTTTGCACAGAGAAGCCCTGATCCTTCTCTTCTCAGGTCCCCCGCCGGTACTCTGAGCTCCTTTACCCCGCTGAATGTCACCATAGAACACAGCTTTCTATGGGGGCACTCATGTGGGCTCGCTCCTGAACATGCTCTGTGTGTTCATAGACATAAAGAACGTGGTTCGGCCCCGCCCCCTCCTGGAAGCCAATAGCTCCGGATGCTGTGTCGGAGCCAATGTAGAGGGAGAGAGCAGAGAGAGCTGCTGCTCTTGTGCACATCACTGCATGGAGATCAGTATGAGGCGAGTATAATTGCAGCTGGGGAGGGGGGAGCTGCATGCAAAAGGTTTTTTACCCTAATGCAGTTAACACATTAAGGTAAAAAAAAAAAAAACATTCTGCCTTTAGAACTTAAAATATAATAATAAATGCACATTTTCCTAAAAAATAATTTATTATTTTGAACTTGGCCTTTAAGAGCTGTTTTAGAAATGTACTAAGGATTCATAAACTTTTTCATAACATGAGTAACAAATAACACAGCCCTGGTAGAAATATGTATTGTTCAGTGGTATAAACTTGCTGAAGCCACTACTTAATCACTGTCATGTTAAGTAAGCTGAAATGTTTGGAGAGGAGTATGAGCCTTTTCCAGTCAGTAAAAGCTGCCTAATCAGATGTGATAAGCAGAAGAGATGTGGGTAATGGAAAGTGAGCTACACAGTAAGCAGGAAGGCAGCTTACAGCCCTGGAGCAAACAAACTGAGCAGTAAGTGTCCTGCAGAAACAAATGCAGTATGCATATAAATCTAGCTGGGAAGTGAAGCACAAGGTAAAAAGAAAGGTGACACAGAAGAGGTCTACCCACCTCATCCATGACATTCTGTAATACATTGCGCTAGACTGCTCTGCGCCAATACTAAACACAGGTCACTGACTTAAATGAAAAGCAGTACAGATTACACTGCACAGGTGAAACCACATTTCATTGTAAAACCGCAAAATAAAAAAAAAAAAAAGTAAAATTAATAAACCCCACTGAGACTAAACAAACACATGCATTGCACCATTTACCAATACAGACAACCTAAAGAATACCTGCCAGATTCACACGCTGAGATTCTTACCTAGTCATCCTGATTTCTATGAAAGTGTCAGTGCTTTCAGAGTTCATCATTATATAAAACCCCAAATGCCCTACACTTGCAGTCCAGCCAAACAACTAATAAACAGTTGGAAAGATTTGAAATTCTGTTTAGGCAGTCTCATGATCCATGGAATCCTGATGGAAACATTCAACCAGATTCCCAAGCTTATTTTTCTCTACTGCAGTTATAACAAACTTGCGAGAAACTTAGATCATATTAACTCAGGGCTGCAGCTAGCAGCTGACACTTTATGATGACAGTTCATATCTTTTTATGCAGCAAAGTGCCCATCTACGCCTGCACACTGCCCTCCTTAAGTCTAATTCCTAGCAGGGAAGAATTTGGATGCACCTCGTTCCCATCCAGCAACACAATGACCCAGGCTGAGACAAAGAAAGCAGGAAATCCACATTCTTGAATTAATTGTATACAAAGAAAAACAAGATTTTTTTTGTACTCAACGTAAAATCTCTTTCTTTGAGTTCATTGACGAACACAGCGTCTTCTTCTTTATGCATGGCCAAGCAGGGTTTAATAGCCCCACATACAGGAGTAGGACTCTTGGCAGAAAAAAACTCAGCACCTCCTATGGGAAGTCCTCCT